TCAGAAGTGGAGCAGCCAGGACTTGGACCAGCACCCACATGGGATGCTGGGGCAGCAGGCCGGCCCCTCTGCTCTGATTTTTAATATTTCCTTCCTTCTGCTGACTTGGGTCTAGTTTGTTCTTGTCTTTCTAGGTCCTTGAGGTACAGAGTTAGGTTGTATGAGATCTTTCTTCTTTATTTACAATGTAGGCATTTATTGCTATAAATGTCCCTCTTAGAACTGTTTTGCTACATCTAGTAAGTTTTGGTATGTTGAGTTTTCTATTTGTCTCAAGATTTTTTAAATTTCCCTTTTTATTTCTTTGATTCACTGGTTGTTTCAGGAGTATGTTCTTAGAAAGTATTTAGGAAAAATTCTCCACTACTTTTCAGTAGGAAGTTATCAGTAATATTTAATAACTTCATGATTTAGATAATCTATGACATTAAAATCAGTCCTAATAGAGCTTTCATAAAAACCTAACTCAGTAAATGGTTTCCATGTTTCAAAACATACTACTGACTTTTAGCATGTAACAATTTTCTGATATTTAATTGTATTTGAGCCAACATAAAATTCACCATTTTACTGTTTTTAAAATAAAGTTAAAGTTGTTCTTACCTTATGATACAGCAATCTCACTGTTAGGCATTTACTCATGAAAAATAAATATATAAAGTCTATCCAAAGATCTGCATATAAATATTTACAGCAGCTTTATTCAGAAAAACACTCAAAACTGTGATGAACTCAAAGCTCATCAAAAGTTCACTCAGAAGTTCATTTAAAAAATTGTGGTACATCCATACAATGAAATGCTAGTTATCAATAAAAAGAAACAAATTATTGATAAGTGCAACAACATGGATGAATCTCAAAAGCATTATGCTAAAAGAGGCCAGGCACAAGAGGTATTATTCTGTTCACATAAAGTTGTGAGAAAGTCAAAATTATACAGACAAAAATTAGACTGATGACTGCTAGGGGTTAGAGAACTTTTTGGTGTAAAGGAAACAGTCTATATATAGATGGTGAGGATAGTTATATGACTTTGTCAAAATTCAGTAAAGTTTTTGTCTTAGAGGGATGAATTTTTTACTCCACATAACTTGTGTCTCAACAACCCTGTCTTCAAAAAGAAAAACCTCAGTTCAATAGAGCTTAAATGTTACTCTCAAATCAGTCCTTTCCTCACTTGAGAATGGCCCTCCCTCTTTTGCTTCTAGCTGCTCCAGTGTTAGGGTAGGTAGGACAAGCATGGGCATAGATCATTAAGGCCTCTGCTGGACATCACGTTTTCTCTGGCTTTTGCTGGTAGTCCCACATGTAGGTGCTATGCAAATACTGGCTTACTTAGGGCTGTATCTGGGAGTTCTTCATTAGATCCTACAGGAGCCACCGCACAGTCCCTACTGTGGAAGAATTTGTCTTGCCCTCTAACTCTTATCCTCACTATGACTCTGCCCATTTGTGTCTGGGGTCACCTCAACTACTGGCTCATCCTCAGTGGGTATTAGCACAATGGCTTAAGCCTGGATATCTTTCAAAGTACCCACCTGTAATCAGGAAAACTTGTATTTCTTCAGAAAGGAATATGAGCTATTCTATCACTGTGTTTGTTGTCTATCCTGCTTTTTCTCTCCCCAATTCTCTTCTCAACTAGACACCTGGGGCTGGCTAAGCAGATGTTCCACCAAGAAGTAGGATGCAAGTCTTGTTTTCTTAGAAGTACTCTTGATTTCTAGGGGCCTTTCTCTTGGTTTCAGGGTTCCTTAGGGAAGGATATTAAAGATATTCTACTCCCCATTAGACCAATGATTCCAATTATTTTCCCTCTATTCTTTCTGATCAAGGAGTAAGGAAATTCCCAAGTCTACAGAATCCAAAGGAGCATTTAATGTCAGATTAAAATGTTGCATAAGAAGTAAAAATGAAAGTTTATATGAGAACTTACCTTACTTCATAAGATGCTAGGCCTTCTTTGACTAGCTGGTCATTAATACTAGTGGGATTCATTCCTGGAACACCAATAGAATCAAACAGCTCGACTAGTAGCACATTATCTTCCAGAATTTCTGTAAAATCATTAAGACTAGTTTGGGGAAAGAAATATGCTGCAAAATATACTAAATTAGGCAATTTTTAAAAATTGGAAAGTTAATTTCTTTCATTTTGCCTACCTGAATTTTCTTGCTGAATAAAGTCATAGTCTCTCTAGGGGCTTAAAATAACATCTTGTAGGCCTAAATGAACTGTCATTATTTACTGTGGCATATGCAAATTAATAAATATTTTATTTTACATTTTTGTGTGCTATTTGTTCTATAATTAACCAAAAGATTACAGATTTTAGACTGAGAAAAATATAAATTAACATACTCATTGAAGAAGTATTCTGTTGTATTCAAATATTTTTTAAAGATTTTTTATTTATTTGAAAGGCAGAGTTACAGAGAGAGAGGGAGGAAGGGAAAATATTCCATTCACTAGTTCACTCCCCAAATGGCCACAATGGCCAGGGCTGTGCCAGGCTGGAGCCAGGAGCCTGGAGCTTCTTCCAGGTTTCCTACATGGGTGCAGGGGCCTTTGGACGTGGGTCTTCTGCTGCTTTACCAGGCACATTTGCAGGGAGCTGGATCAGAAGTGGAGCAACTGGAACTCAAACCAGTGCCCATATGGGATGTCTGTATCGCAGGCAACAGCTTAACCCACTGTATACAACACCATCCCCTTTATTTTTTTATTTTTATTTTTGACAGGAAGAGTGGACAGAGAGAGAAAGGTCTTCCTTTTTTCTGTTGGTTCACCCCCCAATGGCTGCTGCGGCCAGTGCACCGCGCTAATCCGAAGCCAGGAGCCAGGTGCTTCTCCTGGTCTCCCATGCGGGTGCAGGGCCCAAGCACTTGGGCCATCCTCCACTGCACTCCTGGGCCACAGCAGAGAGCTGGACTGGAAGAAGAGCAACCGGGACTAGAACCTGGGGTGCTGGAGCCGCAGGCGGAGGATTAGCCTATTTAGCCGTGGCGCCAGCAACACCATCCCCTTTAAACTGTTTAGTTGGCTTCAGCCAAGTTCCAAGAGGACAAAAGTGAATGAAAATTAACTTAGGCCAGTGATTTGTGAAAGTTTACAGCTTTTATAAGAATGCCTCAAATTTAAAAATAGTTAAAAACTCAATCTATAACCTTCAATTAACTAGAATTTTTTCCTGTTTCATTTTTAGGATAAATAATCTAACTCTTAATTCTTATAGAAAACAAATTGGTTGTGAACTTGATTCTTGGCACTCTGATATGGAATACCTGTGTACCAAGAAGTGGTTCAACTTGCTGCACCACAATGCTTGCCCCAAGGAGGTGAACTTTTTATCTCTTGTGCATATTTTATTTATCGTAGACAGGGCAGGGAGCCTGCTCAATAATTAACTGAGTATATAATAGAGGTATTTGCCTAAACCTTTTGCACAGTAGGAGCTGGCAGCCTCTAGTTAGAGTCATGATTCTAAATAACATAACCATTACTAGTATAACAGCTTATATAATGAAGCTGTAAGAGCATTTCTTAGAAACCCTTTTTTAAGAGTTGAAAAATGATTCCTAGTGACTTTTGAATGACCAGTAAATTATCTCAAAATAAAAAGCTAGGCAAATCTCAACAAAATTTGATTTCCCTACTTCCATCTCTTATGTTTCCTTTCAGTTCTTTGGTTTCATATTTCCATTAGGGTCAACTTTCTCTTGATTCTGTAGTTTCCATTTTCTCTTCTCTCATAATTAAATTTAAATGTTCCTTGCTTTATAAGGTAACAATAGCCATCAATGGGTGGCTCCTGTGGTAGTTCACTTTACTCTAAGGGTCTTGACCTCCCAATTTTACCACTGGAGGCAGGTGAATGCAGAGAAGTTTGGTTGGGCATGGTCCTTTGGTACTCCTTAAATCAAATTTATCTAAGTTAATTACTGTGGTATGGGGCCGATGCTGTGGTGTAGGAAGTAAAGCCACTGCCTGCAGTGCTGGCATCCCATATGAGTGCTGGTTTGAGTCCTGGCTGCTCCTCTTCTGGTTCAGCTCTCTGCTATAGCCTGGGAAAGTAATGGAAGATGGCCGAAGTCCTTGGGCCCCTGCACCCATGTGGGAGACCCGGAAGAAGCTTCTGGCTCCTGCCTTCAGATCAGCGCAGCTCCAGCCATTACGGCCAATTGGGGAATGAACCAGTGGATGAAGACCTCTCTCTCTGCCTCTCCTTCTCTCAATACTAAAAAAATTAATGTGGTATGACTAGTGAGTGGCTGACACTGATATAACAAATAATTGAGAAACAAAGAAGAATCAAGAAACACAGTAATCAGTTCTTGGTGGTTTGTCCCTGTGAGGTATATTTACCATACACTGTACCAAGAACTGTGACAGGGCCCTAGCAAAACTGTAAACAAAAGGAAATGATTTAATTCCTGATTTTAGTGCTTTTAAGGGCTCATGTCAAGGGTGACTTGATCTTTAATGGTAATTTTTACTTCATGTGCTGACTTTAGACTCCAGTGCCTGCAGAAGATATAATTCCATAACTGTCAATAAATGTTCTCACTATTACTAATGATGGCACACTGAATTTACCCTAAGACAAATGCTATATCACGTCATTCTTAGAATTTTATATAACTATATGACAAATAAAAAATGAAAATAGCTTACTAATAACTGAGCATGTCATAAATTTATCTTGAGTCTTTTCTTCAAATTTTTCTTTAGCTTTTTTGGACCACTGCATTGTCCTTTTACATGGTTCAATATAAGCCAGTTTACATTTAATTGCCTGTGTCAAACAAAATCTTGCTATTAACAAAGCAAACTTAATTTCTAGTTATTTTACAGTTAAAAGTTTTATGTAAGTCTGTACAACATTCTTTTTGAATTCAGTACATATTTATAAATGTGCAGAGATATCTATAAAAGTACTTACTAAATGCAAACAATTAAAATGAACACAGTATGTGGCTGAGTGAATTAATGCACATTCACATACAAGAAAAACAAGCATCAAAGAACTACAGATACTTATGAGACATTATTAAATGATAAAAGCAGGTTATAGAACTATTTATAGTCTGAGTCCATAATTATCAAAAACACAGACGACTCAAATGTGTATACAAGTATAATAAGACATTGAACAATACCTGTAATTTCTGAGTGACTCCTCTTTTTGCACTCATCTGTATTTTCAAGTTTTTTTTTTTTGCTATAATACTATCCATTTCTCAAAATGAAAAACATAGCTTAAAATTCAGATTACATAGCTGGATACAAATTAGAAAAAAGATCCTTTATCCTTCTCTTGCAATCCTACTTCACAGAGGTCAGTAAGGTTAAGTTTTTCAATATATTCCTCCAAACTTCTTTCTTTTGAACATATTTATTTTACACACACACACATATGCACAGAAACACAAATGGTATCACAGTAAAAACAGTCCTGGGATGACCTTTTTTCACTCAATATACATAAATATGACACTCAAACAGTAATTAATATGACATTCTTAAACAGTAATTAAAGCAACACTTATCTAAAATCTATATCAGAAACTATTTACAGGCAAAAATGACAGTTAACAGAACATTGCTGTGGTGAAAATGACTAATTTTGAATTTGTGCTAATGTTCAACCCTATAATTTGTAATAAGATTACCTTCTCTGGGGGATGCAGAAACTCATCCTTTATTTTACGCATCTCTTTAAGTGTTATTTTTGCAGTATTACCAAAGTCCACATATTTAACTTCAACTTCCCGGAATCCAGGCAATCCTTTAAAAATTATGAAAACAGAAATCACAAAGTTAGAGAGAATTATCTAGCAAAATTTAACTATTCTGTCAACTAGATTAGAAAACTTTCCGCTTTACTAGGAATAATTTAAAAACAAGTATATATGTGTGTGGTAGGGGACATGCAAAAGAGTGTGCCTGAGTGAGATACCATCTGTTAGTTGTTTATTCCCCAAATGCCAGCGACAGTTGGCTAAAGCCAGGAACTCAATCCAGGTCTCCCAAGTGGGTGGTAGGAATACAACCACTTGAGCCATTACCACTGCCTCCCAGGGACTCTATCAAAAGGAGGCTGAAGTCAGAAGTTAGAAGCAAGTATTTAATCCAGGTACTCCAACAGGGAATATGGGCATCCTAAGTAGCATCCCAACCATACGACCAAACACCTGCCCCCAAACTTAATACTTTTTAAAATTTGAGAAGTATTTATAAAATGTGAATTTTAAAAAAGTCATCTATAATACAGACTTGGTAGAATGACAAACAACTTTAAGATATTCAATAGACCAAAATCATAACAAAACCTAGTAAGTGGTATGTGGTATTACAGTTAAGAATTAAGTTTTGGATCAGACTGAATAGGTTAAAACTCAGCTTGGTCACTGAAATACTATGTGACCTGAAGCAGGCTAATTAATATCTGTAAGTTATTGCCCTGAGCAAGTAATTTTTTCTTGTTAAGCCTCATTATTTTATCTGTAAAATGGGTATACCAATACAATTTAATTTCAGAAGATGTTTTTTGAGGATCACAGTTAAAAACCAACTGGTATAAAGTAAGCACTTAGGGGCCAACACTGTAGTGTAAAGCTACTGCCTGCAGTGCCAGCATCCCATATGGGTGTTGGTTTGAGTCCCGGCTGCTTCACTTCCAATCCAGCTCCTGAGGCACCTGCATCCCATATCAGAGTGTTGGTTCCAACCACTTTGATTCTGATCCAATTCCCTGCTAATGTGCATGGAAAGCAGTGGCTGATGACTCAAGTATTTGAGCTCTTGCCACCCACGTGGGAGAAGAGGATGGAATTCCTGGCTCCTAGCTTCAGCCTGTCCCAGCCCTGACTGTTGTGGCCATTTGGGGAGTGAACCAGCAGACAATCTCTCTCGCATTCTCTGTCTCTCTGCCATTTCAAAATTGAACTTATCTTTTAATTCCATTTCCCATGATTTTTCGGGGGTACCCTTGGTATAGTGTTTGCCATTTTAATATGGTGAAAGATCCAGGGTTCTTTCCTTGGCAGAAGTGGAAGCAGGTGGCACAGCACGCATACTCAAAATGGCATTTCAAACAACCTAGGCTCCTGTGGTAGTGGACTTTTGTGAAAATGGGAACACATGTGTTTCATAAGGCCAAAAGGCAGAGACCTCTTTCCAGTTCCACTGTTTTTTCCAACACTACAAGGATATTCTCAACTCTACCAGTGCCATTAGATTCTTATCTTTTCTCCAATTTCTGAATGGAGATGCTATTCTAAACAAATAGATGGGTATAGATTAGATTTTAAGGAACTTTTTTTTTTTTTACTCAAATTATCAATCACATCTAACAGCAGAGTCAGGAGACAATCAATTCAATCTCTTTGAGGGAACTACTAGAAGATAAAGGAGTAAACGGAAGTGGTAAACACAGGATCCTGAAAACAAGGGATCCAGTTCAGGAGAACAGTGAAGTACATGGCCAAGTGAAACGAAAGCCCAGAATAACAAGTGCATAGTAAACATAGAAGTAAGCAGTCCAATGGGAGAAGACAAGAATTTTTCTACAGTTTTTTTAAAAAAAATTTTTGAAAATTCTAATTATTTGGATAAGTGTTACAAACTAGCAGGAAAATGGAGCCATTAACTTGTAAATGAGGTAGATATTAGAGAACAAAGAAGCAGAGCCAGTGTCCTATCCAGCTTCCTGCTAATTCATCTAGGAAGGAAGTGGGTAATAGCCCAAGTGCTTGTGCCCCTGTCACTTATTATGTGGGAGACTTGGATGGAGTTCCTGGCATCAGCCTGGTCCACAATGGCTGTTGTGGACATCTGGGAAGTTAACGAGGAGATGGAAAATACTATATATATATATACACACATACACACACACACACACCTGTAGTCAGGAGCCAGGAGCTTCTTCTGTGTCTCCCATGTGGGTGCAGGGGCCCAAGAACTTGGGCTATCTTCTACTGCTTTCCCAGGCTATAGCAGAGAGCTGGATGCGAAGTGGAGCAGCCAGGTTTCAAACCGGTGCCCATAAGGGATGCCGGCACTGCAGGCGGTGGTTTAACCCGCTATACCACAGTGCCATCCCCCACATTCAATACTGAAGTATTGTTGTGTTCCTTTAGGGGTGTCATGTTGTCTTCCTTATTCCTGTTTCTTGACTTTCTGTATTTTTAGGCATTGTGAGATACTCGTTGGTTTATTTTTATTTCCCCTGCAATGGCTTTTATCTTTGGACTATGCCTCTGTGGGTGGTTAGTGGAGGGTCTGTTTTTTCAGAGAATACCCTGAGGCATGTACTGGGTGTGGCCAGGAGCTCTGTTCAGTGCTCCAGGGTGAGGAAAGTGTCCCAGGTGACTCCCAAATTGGGCGGGGTAAATTTTTTTTTTCAGAGGTGAGGTTTGTTCAGCTCTGTTGGTGTAATCTCATACTCACCTTCTCTCCTCAAAGGAGACCAATGCCTGAGTGGTAGCCCCAGTGGGTGCTGTGCTGCCACAAGAACCACCCAAAGGATCTGTACAGTCCTTGGTATGAGCACAGATCTGGCAGCAGTGACCTTCACCAGGGAATCAGGGAGCCCCAAGCATGTGGAGCTGCCCACAGTGACTGCCCAAAGACCCAGCCACACCCTGCGCCCTCACATGCAGCCACAGTGTTTTCACAGTCCCAGCACATTAGGCTCCCACAGTCATGGGCTCCCAGCCAGAATCAGGAGTCTCATCTTGGCTGGCTGCTGGGCATGTGGATCCGAGCTGGCGCAGCTGTTATGTATATCCAAAATGGCACCTGCCTGCTCCTGGCTAGTTACAGGTCTCTGCTGCTGGGTAGTCAGGGAGAGAGAAATGTGCTCCTTCTTCCCTCTAGGTTGGCAGTTATACTGTCCTCCACAGGGCTCCAAGCCAGACTCATGCCAGGTTCTTCGACAGTTTTATCGCTGTCTCACCTCATTCTCTAAAGCTGGTGCGGAGGCTCTTGGCTGCTGGGGTCCTGAGTTCTGAGCACCTATATCCTCCTCACAGATCCACAGTGTCCCTCTAATTGTATAGAGTGCCCTCTGCCATTTACTCCCTAGCTCTTCCCTGAGACTGCACTCTCTCCATGCTTTTAAAACTATCTTCCTGTAGACTAGAGCAGCGAGCTCCCTCCCTATTCTGCCATCTTGGTGCTTACTCTACTGCTCAGCTTTCGATGAAAGCCTTGTTCTGCTTCAACCCATGGTTAAAGAAGAATGGGAAGTGGGAACACAGGGAAAGATAAAACATGAGAAGCAAACTTGCTGAGTACAGCCAGCTCTCAAGGTAACTAATCCAGTCCATGAGAGCTCACTCATACAAGAAAAATATTATTCTATTCATGGTGTCCCATCTCCACGATCCAAACCTCCCAACACTGGAACATTGAGGACCATGTCTCAACATTAGTTTTGGTGGGGACAAACCATATTCAAACCATAGCAGAACCTAACACAATCACCTAAGCTGCTTGTAACACTTATTTTCTAAAACCACAGATGTGTGGTATGCACTAATTGTTCTCTTATGCAATGCTAGGGAAGCAGTCACAAACTTCCCTAATTAGGTTGCCATAATCTGTCCCATTTTCATAAATCTTGTTTCCATTCCTACTTTTATTTTTCCCATTATTTTATAAATTGAATTCAATTACTAGACTGAAAAATGAAGTAGAAAATGTAGAGAAAGATACTGAAAAAAAACCTAACAGCTTGGTAAATACTCAAGAGCATGTTACATATTAAATAGTAGGGAAGCTGACAGGACACAAAAGATTGTATCTTCAATTTGTACCTCAAAGAACAACACAGCATGGGACAGACATGAACAGCCAATATGAAGCTAGTCGCCACCAGTTTTTGAATAATGAGCTTTTGCTGCTTTGTAGTGTCTACTAGTTTTCTAGCCAGATTTCCAATGGTTAAGCCCTAATTATGTCAAATAAAATCTCTGGAGCCAGATATTCACTTCAAGAGTATCACAAAGCTTTCTTTAAAGCCAAATGACAGAGAAAATGGTAACATCAAATACCACTTCTGAGATTTAGTTTGTACCAACTCAAATTACAATAGTTTTGAAGTATAACATTTCCCTATAGAAACAGTGTGCACTTTCTTACCTGTTACTTTTGCTCTGTACCAAACTCCATCTTCAAATTTAGCTACACAGGCTTGATCTTGAACTGGGCAGAGGATTTCCAGGTTATCCCCATCTTCACTTTTATAGAATTCCTCGATTGTTTTTAATAGTAATAAAAAATCCAGATTTTCTATCTAAAACAATAAGGGGATAAAAGCACTATAGTTTCATGGGAACTAAAATTGAAATGCTGAATGTATTACAGCATTGTTCATAAAATTATGAAACACTAAAACTGGAATTATATGGAAATATATCAATTATATAATTTAGTTAAAATATTGCATATTATACAAAATTAACATACAGGTGTAACTAAAGTATCACTGCATGAGACAATAGCATATATTCTTCTAAATCTTATTCTATATACATATACACCTCCCTCCACTTTTGTTTCTAACAAAACCAGACTATACCATACATATTATTTAATAACCTTCATGTTTATCAATTCTATTTTATTTTAGTAAATGTTCCTACTCAAACTTCTAAGACCATATTTATTTTCCCTAATGAATCCAAACTCATATCTGAGATTACATATTGTTTCTGGTTATCTCTAACTCTTCAATAATTTAGCACAGTTGTTTAGAAGACTTTGTTGTGTTGGAGAGAGGAAGTTATTTTTCTGCAGTGTCCCACCTTCTAGATTTATATTTTCATATTATTTTGCTCTATTCCTCCACTGAATAAGGGTCTTGCTGTAGGGTTTTTGAAAAGTTGAATGTTGTATCTCAGTTTGATGGATGTTAGCCAAACCTTTTTGGCTAGATTTCAGCACAGATCATTTTGTAGACTCAAGCTGCAATACATCAGAAAACATCCTTCCCTCTCCCCATGGTATAGCTATGTTTTCCCCTTGTGGTGCTACTTTGACATTAGACAAATTGTGGGGAGCAACTGGGAGCAACTCGGACTAGACTAAGTTACTGGAATTAAGACTTATTCTATGCATCTGCTTTCCCACAATATGGCGCTGAGAAGGGAAACAGCTTCTACACAGCTGCCTCCAGTTCAACCAATAAACTGTGGGACCTGCTCCTGATTGGAGGAGAGCAGCGTACTCAGCGTGTGGGTAGCAGAGTTGGGATTGGCGGAGGAGGACTATAAAGGAGGAGAGAGACGGCATGCACCAGGAACATCTAAGGGGAACATCTAAGGGAACACCTGTGCAGCCCCCAGAGAGCCGGCCGGTGGTGTGCCGCTCCCCTGCGGAAGTGGGGAATGTGGCCAGGGGGAACTGCCCTTCCACGGAGGTGGAAGGGACGGTAGCCAACCCGGGAAGAACCAGCAGCAAACCTGGGGAGGGCCGAGCAGACAAAAGAACAGCGCAGGGTCCTGTATCGTTCCTCCACGAAGACGGGGAGCGACAACAAATACCCAGTTTCTATCAATCATCCATCTAATGGTTTCAAAATAATTCTTTAAATAATTTAGTAGGTTTTATGAAATTACTGTATTCTTGAAAGAAATAGAAATTTCTCTTATTAAATGTAGCTATTTGGTATAGTCTGAAATTATTAAGTTCCTAAGTACCAAAATAATAATCAAGAATAAATGTGTATTTCACCAATGTCAATTCTTCAGATTAAAAAATGTTTTAAAAGCTATCTCAAATGAGAATAAAGTAATATTGTTTTGTGAATATAATTATGCAAGTGGAAGTTTTCTGAATTCCTATATGTTGTTATTTTAAATTACTTTAAAACTACTTATCAACTTTCTAAACATTTACTTTTAATGGATATGACTCATTTTTCCATTAACAGGTAATCCAAAGATAGCATTTAAAAATTTAGTAGATGATGTCACTGAAGTAGAGCAGGAAGTTCTAAGTTTTTGTTAATAACACAGAAATGCTGATAAAACAAAAAACAAAAAACAAAAAACAAACTGTCCAAGGGCTCTGACAAGCAGTCAAAATTTTATGGCAATAAAGCAAACCCTATCAGGAAAAGTCATCTTCTAAATGGTAAGAAAATTTTGTGGCATTTTTATGTGTTCTTGCCCCAACTCCTCCCTAGAAGCCTGATGACTTGGTCTTGAGAAGTGCAACTCCAGTTCTTAGTTCGTTCTCTTGAATCACAGGGAACAGACTAGATTTTATATACAAATTACTATGCTTATGTGTTCTAACTTGCCTGGGGATACCTGCAGGAGTGAGACAAGGTACTTCTTACAATTTGGATCACAGGTGGGAAAAATTGCAGGTACCTGCTTGGAAAAGCTACAAAGGAGGCTATGTTCTGATTTCTAAACTTATTACAAAGCTACAGTAATCAAAACAGTCAATACTGCATGAAGATCAGACATCTTGAAATCAAATAGAAATCCCAGAAGCAAGCATACATTCTGACAAGGAAATGACTGTCTCCAACAAATGGTGTGGGAAAACTGGTATTCTCAATGCGAAAGAATGAAGTTGGATCCTCACCTTACATAACACAAAATTTAAATCAAAGTAAATGAAAGATCTAAATCTAAGAATGAAAACTGGGGGCTGGCCGGCGCCGTAGCTCAACAGGCTAATCCTCCACAGTACCGGTTGGGGTGCCGGATTCTGTCCTGGTTGCCCCTCTTCCAGGCCAGCTCTCTGCTATGGCCCAAGTGCTTGGGCCCTGCACCTGCATGGGAGACCAGGAGAAGCATCTGGCTCAGCGCGATATGCCGGCCGCAGCGTGCCGGCCGTGGCGACCATTGGAGGGTGAACCAACAGCAAAAGGAAGACCTTTCTCTCTGTCTCTCTCTCTCACTATCCACTCTGCCTGTCAAAAAAAAAAAAAAAAAAAAAAAAAAAAAAAAAAAAAAAAAAAAAAAGAAAAGAAAACTGGGGGCTGGTGCTATGGCGCAGTGGTTTAAGCTGCCGTCTGTACTGCCAGCATGCCATACGGGCATCGGTTTGAGTCCCAGCTGCTCCACTTCCGATCCACCTGTCTGCTATGGTTGGGGAAAGCAGTGGAAGATGGACCAAGTGCTTGGGCCCCTACTGTGGGAGACTCCGAAGAGGCTCCTGGCTCCAATCAGCCCAGCCCCGGCCACCTGGGGAGTAAATTAGTGGATGGAAGATCTTTCTCTCTGCTTCTCACTCACTCTGTAACTCTAGCTCTCAAATAAAAATAAAATTTTTTAAAAATGAAAACTACAAAACTCTTAGGAGAAAAATGTAAGGAAAAAGCATCCTGTTGCTAGATTTGTTAATTATTCCTTGGATATGTCACCAAAAATACAAGGAAGAAATAACAAATTGGACTTCATAAAATTAAATACTTTTGTGGCTCAAAGGACATGTCAATAGAATGAAAAAACAACCTAAAGAATGGGAGAAAATATCTGTAAGTAGTATATCTTATAAGGATGTGATATCAATACAGTTTGGCAGTTCATCAAGAAGTAAAACACAGAATCACCATATAACCCAACAATTCCACCTGTGGATACATATCTAAGAACTGAAAGCAGTGCCCAAATGAATACTTTTGTATCACAATATTCATAGCAGTATTGCTCATAACGGATACAAGATGCAAACAATCCAAATGTCCCTCAACAGATGAATGGTTAAACAAAATGTGGTACACCCACACAATTAAGTATTATTCAGCCATAAAAAGGAATCTGATATATATTCAGAGACATAGATTAACCATGAAAAAATGCTTAAATGAAATAATCCGGGCCAGGCACCTAGAATAGGAAAATTCAAAGACAGAAAGTACAAAAGGGCTATGGGAGAGGAAATGGGATATTAAGTGTGTAATGGGTACAGATCTTCTGTTTTGGATAACTGCTATAGTTTGAGCATGATTTGGTTCCCCAGCACATGCAGATGGTTAAAATCTGAAGTCATAAGTATTAAGAATAGAAACTTGGTCCACAAGTATGGTGGACCAAACTATGGTGTCTGAAAGTGGGGTTTTGGGAGGTGATTAGTTTGGATTAAGTTGTTGGTGTGGAGTCCCCAGATCAAATCTTAGTGGCTTTATAGAGACCACATGGACATGAAGAATGAGCATGTTCCTTGTCTCCTAGCTCACCATGTGATCCCTCCTTTGCATGCACTCTGCCATCCATCGCTTTCATCAGACACTAACCCAATGATGCCACCCCATTTTGGACTATGACCCTTCAGAACTATGAGCAAAAATAAGCCTTTTCCTATATAAATTAGCTTCTCAGGTATGTTACAGTGATGAAAAGCTGGCAAATACAATGAGTGAAAAAGTTCTGGATGGCTGTACAACATTGCCAATGAACTTAAAGGCACTAAACTCTACCCTTAAAATGGTTAAATGGTAACTATTGGCCTGTGTATTTTACCACAATAAGTGTAGTAAAAAAAAAATTAAATACAAGTTCTAACTTAGTGCTCGATAAGCAACATTCACAACTCATGGAGGTTGTGGATCAGTGCTCAAGGTGAAAGGCTCAGAAAGTAACATGGCCCAGTTCAGTCCTGGCTCTACCCTTTCACAGATGGGTGACTTTAGGCAGGATACTTCATTCCTGTGATTAGAGTCTTCATATCCAAATGGAGATGGTAGTACCTATCTATCAGGATTTTTGAGAAGATTATGAGTTAATTCACATAAAGTCTTAAGGTTCTTATGACAAGTGAATCCATATGAAGCCCCAGGAGGTCATTAAAGATGAGCTACTAGTATTAGATACCTAAACAAACGTATCAGTCACATATCCAAAGTTCAATATGATCAGAAAAAGGTTTATCATTATATTTTGATCTGCCAGCTCTATGTGCTTTGTCTCTAGTTTTCAGAAGGCAGCAAGAAGTATTTTTCCATTAGCTATCCTTCATTGTCTTTTTCCTCTGTATTTCACCAACTTGCAAGGATGAAGTGCTTTTTCAATTTACTATAAATCATGTGAACTTGTTTAAAGCTGCAGCTACTAAGAAATTAAAATGAATAGAAGGTTGACAGTGGTTTGTTTGCTTTTACTAAAATTTGTACTGGTACTCATTCCTATGAAATATTTCTACTTAAATTTTTTAAAAAGTATCAAAGGAACATGATATACTTACCAACTGAAGATAGAAATCAGTAGGACTGTTTATATGACAAACCATAACAGAAACATTTGTCATTTCTTTAGGCAAGATAGGTGGATGATAGTGTAAAGTCATATTTTTTTCACAGTGACTTCTTGGTGATTGTGACCTAAACCTAATTAAAGGCATAATTAAAAAAAGAATAAGCAAGAGTCATTTTCTTAAAGTTTCTTCTTTCAGTGACTTGTTTATATACGAATTTATTTATTTTTTAAAGATTTATTTATTTGAGAAGGAGAATTACAGAGAGCGTGAAAGACAGAGAGACATCTTCCATCTGCTGGTTCACTCCCGAAATGGCCACAATGGCTGCAGCTGGGCCAATCTGAAGCCAGGAGCTTCTTCTGGGTCTCCCACTGTGTGCAGGGGTCCATCTTCCACTGTTTTCCCAGGCAATTAGAGAACTGGATCAGAAGAGAAGCAGCCCATACACAAACTGGTGCAGGCAGAGGCTTAACCTATTATGCCATGGTACCAGCCCCATACTAATTTATTTAACAAAGTATTTCCATTCCAATTTTTTATCTTCTAACAAAATTTCTTTGTATTATCTACATCACACTAGATTAAGTAAGATGTCAATTTTCAAAACTCAGTAATTAACATTTAAATTTGTGTTATGACATTTTAGAGGTGGGATTGCATGTTGTACTTCGATTCAAAGCTGTTTCTGCTCCAAAGTATAATTTAATTCTGTGGTTTGTGGTAATGCCCAGTGAAGCCAGCTGAGGTGTCTTTTTGGCCCCTTCCAGACTTTTATTTAAGATTCTATTTTTATTTTCTAGAATGGAATCTGTCCTGGTTGCCCCTCTTCCAGTCCAGCTCTCTGCTGTGGCCCGGGAGTGCAGTGGAGGATGGCCCAGGTCCTTGGGCCTTGCACCCGCATGGGAGACTAGGAGAAGCACCTGGTTCCTGGCTTTGGATCAGCGCGGTGTCCCGGCTGCAGCAGCCATTGGGGGGTGAACCAACGGAAAAGGAAGACCTTTTTCTCTGTCTCTCTGTCCACTCTGCTTGTCAAAAAAATAAATAAATAAATAAATAAAAAAATAAAAAAAAAGAGAACCCCTGGCTTTTAAGGGCAAAATCTTCTATTCCCATTTATACTTAGAGCAAAGATTATTTAGATTTTACTAAGTTACTTACCTTGCGAGTTCCATAAATACTAACGCATCTCTAAGAGACACGGGCATATCACTACTTATTTTATTTGTTGGTGGTTTCTGCAGATCCACAATAAGCACACCATCTTCTTCTCTAAAAACTTTCATTAAAACAGCCTTGTTGTTTACCATTTTCAAAAATTCTAGTTTAGCTTCCTCTTCCCAGCCTTCACTCTGTGGAAATAAGTAAAATTACACAGTAATCACAATTACAATTAGCTTTAATGCTAAAATGTTGTGGATTTAGCTGCAAAAAGATTTGCAAAGCCTGCAAATCTGAGCTGGCATCACAAACTTGAGGGCAAACTTTATATATGTAGAATGTACACATACTTTTGAGTTTACAATACATTCTCAAGGTGTCTGAGTAGTTTCACTCTAGAATTTAGCATTACTTTTGAATATTAACATAAAATTATTAAAGACTTTAAAATAAAAGAAACTGGTATTACACATGAATTTTCTACTTAAATGATGAAAATGAAAAAGGAGATTTTGAAAGAATGCTAGAAGCTGGGCTGATCTGAAGCCAGGAGCTTCTTTTGGGTCTCCCATGTGGGTGTAGTGGCGCAAGCACCTGGACCATCTTTCACTGCTTTCCCAGGCTATAGCAGAGAGCTGGATCAGAAGTGGAGCAGCAGGACTCAAATCAGCACCCACATGGGATACTGGTGTCACAGGAGGAGGCTTAACTTATTTTGCCACAGCACCTGCCCCTCCAGTATTTGTTGAATACTGCCACATGGCAGATGTGTTTACTGCTGGGAATACAATGATGAGCAAAGACACAGACTCCTGTTTCCATAGACCTTCTACTTAATACATTGCTACACATAATTTCAGTCCTCTAGGAATCTTCAATCTTGTTGGGGAACAGATATTCACGAATAGCACAAAACAGAAGGCAATATGAGACACAAATGATGGAAAAAGTCCCATGGGAATAGCAAAGAAATGTGTAGAAATATACACTATATTTAAAACTTATTTCTTGACATATAGTCAATTCCAAAATTTAGTGGTTTTCTTGGCTATTTCATCTATCACTATATTCATATACGCTTACTCAGTTTCTCATTAAGAATATTTTCAATTGTGGAAACTGAAGTTCATGTCCCGTTACACAGATTATGAATGGCTCTTTATGCAAAATGAATCTACCAAAATAGTTGGTTCCTTAGGGCAGCACTTACCTATCTAACTGGAAATACAAAGCTAAAATTGGAATATTTAGCTTTTGAAGAAGAAATTATTTATCACTTACTGAATTCTGTGGAACAATGTCTTTCAGTGAGCATGGCTGTGCTAATGGTGGGATATCTTTTAGCAACCCTTCAATGTATGGCTCAGACTTCCGTAGAACCAGACATAAATCATTTAGAAAAACATGCTGCTTAGAAATGTGTTCTGGTTTCACATGGGTACCACCAACCCTAAGAGAAATTCATGTAATATTTGTTGAAAATTGATGGAACAAGAACATAAGCTTCAGCAATTTTAGCTCCTTGCCTGAAAGTAGATAAAATTCCCTTTTACCCCTTGAACACTGCCTTCTTTCAAGAGACCAGCTCAGCCCCATGCCCTGTAGTTTTCCCCACCCCACCCTCTGCATTCTTTTCCAAGTTCAAAAGCCTGCAAAAAACCTGAAAAGCCTGTATGGAGAAACTCACCTCCAACTACTTCCTCCCCCTTCTCCCACCAGACCCTTAGCCCATCCTAAGACATAAAAGGCCCAGTTCACTGGGGGACTACGCGCTCTGCCACGTGTTTGTCCACACTGGCAGTTGGCCACTTCTGCGAATTTTTCTTGAAGAAATTCATTTTGGCTGCGAGTACGTATCCTCTCTCTTCTGTTCTGTGCCCCTTTTCCTTACCAAAAATAACACTTAAAACTTGAACTTGCTTTTCCCCTTAAAAGGTATGCATTTCTAAGGTTACTTTCTTTAAATCTTCTAGAAAGTTAAATTCCAAATTCAAACTTTCCTACAATATAGCCTTAATACTGATTTTGAATTAAATCTCAATTACTTTTATTTGAACTTTAAATATACCCATTCAGTTTAAACGAAAAGGGTATAATGACCCTCCCCTTCAAACATAAATCTATTAATAAAACTATGATCATTAAATAGATCACATTATAGCTAACACTGGCCTTCACTACGGTTTATTTTTGTAAAAGACTCAGTAAAACATTTTTGAGTCCCTACAGTGAAAAATACATTAATGAAATTACAAAAATCTAATTAAAAGTTAATCATCTGGCAGCTAATTATAACACTTTAAAGAATTCTTTGTTTAATTTCATACCCTAAAGTAATACAGAAAGTATACTTTGAGTGCATCCAAAAGCTCCTTTCCCAAGCTCTTTATCTAGTAATACTGATAAATGGTAATATTTTACTTATTTAGAGAAACAAATAAGAGCAAAATAAAATGTAGGCCTTGGAAGTGAAGAATGACAAATTACTCCTCTACCTCTTTCTAATTTCCTTCACTCTTGAAGTACCCCTCCTCCCATAAATGTTTTAACAGTCCAGGAGCATATAATTGTAAAATATCATACCCTGTGACAATTAGGACTTCAGAATTTCCAAAGTCTACCATGAATATCTGTATTAGTGCAACTTCTCGGACTGAGAATTTGGTCGGACTACAAGATTTTCTTGTATTTTTACTTTCTATTGGAATTAATTCAGTGATAGTTCCTCGGCACCACATTCCATTTTCAACACTGTTGATGAATATTCTTGCACCTAAATAATGTGGGAGACAAATCATTACCAATGTTTATGGAGAAAGACACATAATTTATAAACACATACTTCAGTTCTACAGCTAATTTTTATTGAGTAGTACTGTGTCAAGTGCTATGACGAAGTAGTAATTATAATAGCTTGTTATACAGAAACTTACAAGCCAAATGGGGGAATAAAAACAAAGAATACTTAGTCTGTAGATACTTAATGAGGACCTGTGTTTCATGAATCATGTACATCAACAAAATGAGACTGTCTTGCCACCAAAAAGCTCAAGAAAGGAAGATAGGCAAATTACTGTAAGACTGTGTACTTAATGTAATAAAGATCATCTATTCTTGTGCATATGCACAGATATACCTATAGATACGTACATACTGAAGTTTGTAATAAAAGATTTACCTTTTCTTGATAAAGGAAAGTGAAAGTAAAGAAACAGTGAAGAGAAGCAGGTGATATGGCAAAGTTAATACCAAGCAGTAAGGACTTAACAAAAGAAGAACACCTTAAGGAGGGATCAGCTATATTACCAATTAACACAAAGAAAAAAAGATCAAGGAAGAAAGAGGCCTAAACATGAAGGTTTACCACAAACTCAGCAGCATTTTCAGTACTTTATGTTTGAATTCACTTAATCCTCACAGTAACTCTATGGAGGCAGTGCTTCCATGTCATAGGTAGGAAACTCAAATATTATGACTCAGAAAACATTACCCATATTGTAGTGTTTTGAGCCCAGCTAAAGGATGCTGTATAATCACCTCTGTACTTGGATATTTCAAAAAGTTGATGGAAAAATGGAATTAAAAGTTTATTTTGGTGCAAAAGATTGAAACCCATATTTAATTTTTTTCCATGAAGTTTTAAGATCCCTCATAAACGTACAAAAAACAGCTGAAAGACACATTAGGGCAGCCTTTTAAGTTCAATGAAAACATCTGTTTGGCCTTAAGGTTATCAGTGACACTTCTCTAATTCTAACACTCTATGTAACCAACATTATTTTGGATTTAAAAGCATATTGTACGGGGCCAGAGCTGCGGTGTAGTGGATTAAGCCTCTGCCGGCGGCTCTGGTATCCCACCTGGGGGCTGGTTCCTGTTCTGCTGGCTCCTCTTCTGATCCAGCTCTCTTCTTGTGGCCTGAGAGAGCAGTGGAAGATGGACCAAGTGTTTGGGTCCCTGCACCCATGTGGGAGACCCAAAAGAAGTTCCTGGCTCCTGGCTTTGGATCGGCCCAACTCTGGCTGTTGCAGCCATTTGGGGAGTGAACCAGCAGATAAAGACCGCTCTGCATTTAACTCTGCCTCTCAAATAAATAAATAGATCTTTTAAAAAGGTATATTCTAGGCTGGCACCCCAGGTTCTAGTCCCGGTCGGGGAGCCGGATTCTGTCCCAGTTGCCCCTCTTCCAGGCCAGCTCTCTGCTGTGGCCCAGGAGGGCAGTGGAGGATGGCCCAGGTGTTTGGGCCCTGCACCTGCATGGGAGACCAGGAGGAAGTACTTGGCTCCTGGCTTCGGATGGGTGCAGTGCACCGGCCATGGCGGCCATTTGTGGGGTGAATCAACGGAGGGAAGACCTTTCTGTCTAACTCTGCCTGTCAAAAACAAACAAACAAACAAACAAAAAACACCATTCTTTCTTCCAATAGGTAAAAGCCTGGTGAAGTCATCTGTTGTTCTTTTTAATGAAATACCCAGAACAAGAGGGTATCCTCCCCTCCCCTCAAGCACCATCACATTTCTTGCCTTATCATTAATTTCTCAAAATATAAATATTTAAATCAGTTATATTTTGATCATGCAAACATAATTAAAATTAACAACTTGAAACAAAAAGATGACTTTTTGTCTTAGAACTTTCTGAATCTAAACAGTTCTTTTGGGCATGTATTACATTTTAGAGAATTATTTTTAACTGTAGAAATGCAGTTTAACACTACACTTCCCTCCTCTTAGATAATTAAAATGTCATTTTTAAGTTTAAAATTATTCATTTTTTCCAAGTGTGTGATGATCCTTGTCCACTGATTCTGAAAAGCTACATGGACAAGCTGACAGTTGATCACATTTTTAGCAACCATTAATATAAAGCTAAACAGATAATACTTTTTTGGCACTGGTTATATATAGGCATTGATTGCTATTAGCAGAATGAGAAAAATGCTCCTTTAATAAATCAGAAAAATCGCATATTCACCATATACAGAGTATAATCAAATTCAGCCAACAATATTATAAGGAAAATAATTATAATGAAAACCTAAACCATGGCAAATTCTCACATACCCTGAGATTTAAAACAGATGGTTTTTACCCTCCGTGGGGCCATAGGAATGGGTGTCAAAGCCCTACTATCTCACTTAAATATACAATGGTGGTCCTAAAATGCAAGAGAGAGGAATGATCTAAGAGGGGCCGGCGCTGTTGTGCAGTGGGTTAACGCCCTGGGCTGAAGCGCCAGCATCCCATATGGGCTCAGGTTCGAGACCTGGCTGCTCCACTTCCTGTCCAGCTCTCTGCTATGGCCCAAGTCCTTGGGCCCCTGCACCCACGTGGGAGACCCGGAAGAAGCTCCTGGCTTCGGATCGGCGCAGCTCTGGCCGTTGTGGCCATTTAGGGAGTGAACCATCAGATGGAAGACCTCTCTTTCTCTCTCTGCTTCTCCTCTCTCTGTGTAACTCTGACTTTCAAATAAATAAATAAATCCTTAAAAAAAGAAGAATCATCTAAGAGTCATTGTTTTCCCTGAAGACAAGCATTGCTACATAACCCTTCAGGAAGGTTTTGTAATTTAAAAAGTAATTTTCTGTACCCTGAAATGGAGATTCTACGTATGTCTGACTCAAAACAAGTGTCAACATTCAATTTTAATCCTTAGCTAATTTTAATTCAGGTTAAGTAATTCGAAATCTTTCATCCTTAGAATACAGATTTTTGCTTTAAGCTGATTATAACAGGCCTATATGGGTTGGTTAGAAATTATAGTAAATAAACTTGATATTTTAACTCCAAGTAATATTTTATTACCAAGCTCCAAAATGTCTGAAGGATCAAGGTGTAACCTCTTATTGCAAAAGTGATTGACTTTCTTCTCCAATAGTGCTGCATCTTTTATTTGTGAATACTTCCGAATGTAGAAGTGGCAAGGATGTATTACATGGCTTACAAAAACTAGCTCTGGAGAACCTAGATAAGAATCAACATTTAAACCACATGAATCAACCATGCATTAGGATAGATCACAAAGCCATAACTGTAATATCCTTTAACAACAAATGTCTTGTGGTATTGTGAACTCTAGCATACTTAGGCTCCATGAAATAATTCAAACACAAAATAACTGATAAAAAATGGATCACTTTCAACAGTGAATTCTTTGGCAATTCGAACTACAAATAGTTCATCTCACTTGAGAAGTATGTTATATAAATGGAATTGCAGTTCATGTTGTATTTAAATTCTAAAACCAGAATACATATTGTAACTCTACTTTATGACAAAACTTTAGTTTATTAATGAACCAGAACCCCACTGATTTTAGTTTCTAGGATAGCCCATAAAACCAGGTGAATCTTGATTATACCTATAGAACCAATGCAGCTTCTGGCCACTCTGAATCCCAAGTCTTAATAAATCAGTTTAGTGAGATATAAAATATAAGCCTTTGCGAATCAAAGTATTCGGCATCATTTAAGAGACTATGTGTGTATTTTGGTGGAGACAGAGCTGGTAAAGACAGTGAGAAAATTTTGTATATACATCAGTAATTAAGCCAAGTATTTCTACTGATACCAAAAAAATCTCTAGGGGATGGTGTTGTGGTGTAGCAGGTAGGGATGCTGCCTGCAATGCCAACAACCTATATGGGCACTGGTTCACATTCTGGCTGCTCCATTTCCAATCCAGCTCCCTGCTGATGCACTTGGGAAAGTAGCAGAGGAGGCCCAAGTACTTGGGTCCTGCACCCATGTGGGAGATGAGGATGAAGCTCCCGGCTTTGAATCCGCCCAGCTCCAGCTCGCTCTTCCCTTCTCTGTCTCTCCCTCTCTTTCAAACAAATAAGTCTTTTTTTTTTTTTTTAAATCTCTGAAGTAATAACGTTAAGGGACAAATGTAAAACGAAAAAAGAGCTTATGGCATGTTATGTTTTATGTAAAACATACAAAGAGGGTTAGAAAAAGAATTTTTGTGTATATATGCATAAAAATACTCTAGAAGGGAGGGAGGAACTAAACAAATTGGAATAGGAGTGGAGTAATTTCACAGATATTTTAATATGTATTTGCTTTTTGATCAAATTTTTTTAAAAAACAGACTAGTATATAACAGAACCTGAACAAATGGATCATTGTAACTAGACTACAAAGAATACCCATGCTGAAGATGGGTAGGTATAAGTGGGGTGACAGCTGTGACAAGTGTTACAAATTTCAAGTATTTTTTGCCAAAAAGAGTCAAAACTTAATGACAAAGTTCTAGTCAATTCATTTTCCTTATTGACTCAAAGTGTCCCACAGATATAACAGTCCGTACTACATCAAGCTCAGAAACTTATACCTGCTTGTGATCCAAAAGGAACTGATGACTCTTTCTGAAGAGGTTTTTCTGGATATCTAGGTGCCTCCACAAGATAATCTGGAGAGCAAGCTTCATCAAAATAAGAAATAAAGACAATTTTACTAGTTTTGTTAAAGTTGATAATAGCATGATTGTGTTTAAAGAGCAAAACCTGGGAATAGCACACTCCTTGTATCAGTAAGTGAAGTCATGGGAGCTTATCTTAAGTAACTGAAATATCCAGTGATAATACAGCAGAAAGAAAAGATTGTGACTTTTTTTTGTATTAAAAATGTTATTCTGGAGAGTCAGCCTATAAAACAGAAGGGGTGGGGAATCAAAAAAAGTGGTCCTAAAGAAGATCTAGTATAAGACTACATCAAGTAGTATTTTATTACTATGTTAGTGGGCAAATACCAACACTGGAAATCTAATCAAACAATTGTGATGCACTTAACTGTTATAAAATGCATTATACTTAAGAGTTTTTCTTAAATTAAATTTCAGGAGATTTAAGAGAAATTATCCTTAAAAAATAATGGAATTGCTTCTATAAATTACATCTCTCCCATTTTACATTTGTATCTGTACACAAACTTTGTATGCGGAATACCAAAAAAGTCAAATACCCTAATTAAATCAAACATTAAATTTACACCTCTGAGGACAGCCATATTACTGCATTAAAAATAAAAACTGTGGGGCTGGCATTGTGGAATAGCAGGTGAAGCTGCCATCTGCAACGTCGGCATCCCTCATGGGTGCTGGTTTGTGTTCTGGCTGCTCCACTTCCAATCCAGCTTCCTGCTGATGGCCTGGGAAAAGCAGTAGAAGATGGCCTAAGTGCTTGGGCCCCTGTCACTCACATAGGAGACCTTGATGAAGCTCCTGGCTCCTGCTTTCAGCCTGGCCCAGCCCGCCATTACAGCCATCTGGGGAGTGAACCAGCAGATAAGATTTTTCTCTGTAACTCTTTCAAATAAATAAACCTTTACAAAAGTAAAAAATAAAAATTGCCCTAACTTTGGCAAATGTAAGAGTAAGGGCATAGAAATTAATAGGTTTTTATCTCATAATAAAGCACAGTATCTTAACAGCAGCACGTTTCTACTAAGTACATGGAACAAAAAAGTACCAGTTGCTTCTACTTATGGATTTGAGTGCTCCCTCTGCTTTTTCATATTTTCACTCACTTTCCAGGTTTTCTTCAATAATTTCTTCAATTATCACATCAGGGCTAGATCCCACTTGAGGTAGCACAGCAATGGTTTTAGGGGGGGTCGCTGCAACAACCTCCTTCTGTGGCTGAAAGGTTTTGACTTCTAAGTGCATAGCATTGGTCTCCAGGGCTTCACTGGTTAGGAGAGACATATTAGCTTTTCTCTTTTCTGGCGATGAATATGTATCACAACAAAGTTCCTTTTTATTATAGCATTTCTTTTGAACATTCTGTCCAGTTTCATTTTCTTGGGGATAATATCTGTTTAAAAACAGAGGTATATGGCCACTTTGAATCATTTAATTTTTAATATCCACTTACAAGCCATTTGCTTTCTACATGACAGTATATTCTGGGACACATACAAAAGCTTAAAGTTGCCTAGCTATCCTAGAGGTATTTTTCAAACAGCTTTATTAATTTATAATTTACATACAATAAAACTTGATTTATACTAAACCTAGAATTTTACAACTGTTACCACAATCTACTTTTAGAACATTTGACCCACAAAGCCACCTTTGTCCATTCCCAATCCCAAGAAAATTCCAAGATTTTTATAATGTCAAGAAAAGGTACAGTGGCTGGTACTATGGCATATCAGGTAAATCTACTGCCTGCAGTGCCGGCATCCCATATAGGTACCAGTTTGAGTCCCGGCTGCAGCACTTCTGATCTAGCTCTCTGCTATGGACTGGGAAAGCAGTAGAAGATGGCCCAAATCCTTGAGCCCCTGCACCCACATGAGAGACCCAGAGGAGGCTCCTGGTTTCGGATTTCCACAGCTCTGGCTGTTGTGGCCATATGGGGAGTAAACCATTGGATGGAAGTCCCCCCCACCCCCGGCCCGCCTCTCTGTAACTCTGCCTTGCAAATAAATAAATAAATCTTTTAAAAAAAGTATAATCAATGAGAAGCTGAAAACAGTGGATACAGGTATTCAAAAGAAACTTTGATTTTGCTTAACTGTTATGTAAATTATGTGGAGGGTCAGGCATTTTGTGCAGCAGCTGGGACACTGCTTGGGATACCTTCAGCCCACATTAGAATGCCTGGTTCAAGTCTCAGGCTCCTCTGCTTCTGATCCAGCTTCCTGCTAATGTGTACCCTGTATATGATGGTTCAAGTGTTTGGGTTTCTGCTACCCACGTAGGAGACCTGGATTGAGTGCTAGACTCTTAGCTTTGGCTTGGCCCAGCCCTGGCTATTTTGAGTATTTTGGGGAGTGAATCTCCAGATAGAGGATTTCTGTCTCTAATTTTCAAACAAAAATGAAAACAAAAAAATTTTAAAATAAATTACATTATTCTTTCAATTCAATGCCATACAAATAAAATGTAAGAAACAATGAGCAAATCACCAAGACTAATAATCACTATTAATCTGAAATTTTTCAGTATGGTTATCTAATAACCATTATCTATAACTAATTATATATATAAAATATATCTATATTTTTTCTAAATTCACATACGGATACAAGTTTAGGCTATCAAATCTACAAGTAGAGAAATTTTACAATGAAATGAGATTGTGTCTCACAAAGCTTGTATTTGCTAACCTATCAGTTTTTTAAAGGTTTATTTATTTAGTGTGAAAGTCAAAGTGAGAGGACAGATTGTTGCTCTCCAATGTCCAAAACACCCAGGGCTGGGCCAGGTTAGGAGCTTCATTCAGGTCTCCCACATAAGTGATAGGGTCCCAAGTACTTGGGCCATCATCTGCTGCCTCTGAGGCACATTAGCAGGAATCTGGATTAGAAGCAGAGGGGCTGAGACTAGATTCTAGGCACTCCAGTACACAAGTGGTGGCTTAACTCACTGTGCCACAATGTCTGCCCCAACCTATCATTTTAGAAGCCATTTTAGAAATAAAATCAACTGATTTAGCAGTGACAAATGCTTATCTGTCTTTGATAGGAGCTGTCATTGTGGTATAATAGGTAAAGCTAGTGCCTGTGAGGTTGGCATCCCATATGGGCACCAGTTCATGTCCTGGGCTGTTCCACTTCCGATCCAGCTCTCTGCTATGGCCTGGGAAAGCAGAAGATGGTCCAAGTCCTTGGATCCCTGCACTCACATGGGATACCCAGAAGAAGCTCCTGGCTTCTGGTTTCAGATTGGTGCAGCTCCAGCCATTGCAGCCATCTGGGGAGTGCATCAGAGGATGGAAGACCTCTTTCTCTGCCTCTCCTTCTCTGTGTAATAAGTAAATCTTAAAAAAAAAGACTTATCTCTTTAAAAAAATTATTTTTGCTAGTTGTTTGAAAGACAGACAGAACCATTTCCCATCTACTGGTTCATTACCAAAATGCTGCAACGCCTAGGACTGGGCTAGGCCAACACCAACACCTGGGAACTTAATCTAGTTTCCCACATGTGGGTGGCAGGGACCCAACCACTTGAGCCATCACCTGCTGCCTCCTAGGATGTTCAAAGCAGGAAGCTGAAATCAGGAGCAGAGCTTGGAATCAAACTAAGGCACTCTGATATGAGATGTGCGTTGTTTTAGTTGCCATGTCAATATCACCCTTGGAAATTTTAAACAAGTTTGGTCAAGATCCAGGAGCATTTCTTCAAAGAACTATAACAGGAGATGAAACATGGTTTTACCAGCATGATCCTAAAGACAAAGCACAATCAAAGAAATGGCTACCAAGAGGTGGAAGTAGTCCAAAGCAAATGTGGACTAGTCAAAAGCAAAGATCATGACAACAGTTATTTTTAGATGCTCAAGGCATTTTGCTTGCTTTGTGGAGAGCTAAAGAATGATAGGTTCTGCTTACAATTACAATGTTTTGAGAAAGTTAGCCAAAGCTTTAGCAGAAACCCTCTTGGGAAAGCGTCCCCATAGAGTCCTTATCCACCATGACAATGTTCCTGTTCATTTCTGTCATCAAACAAGGACAATTTTGTGAGAGTTTTGATGGGAAATTATTAGGCAACCACTGTAAGTCCTAATTTGGCTCCTTCTGACTTTTTTTTTTTTAAAGATTAAGGAACAAAACAAAAAAACAAAAACCTTTAAAGCCCACCTAGTTTTCTTCAACTACTGATGTAAAAAAAGACTGCACTGACATGACTAAACTTCCAGGACCTTCAATTCTTTTGGGATGGACTACATGGCTGGTATCATTGCTTACCAAAGTTTCTTCTACTTGATGGAGTTTGTCTTGAGAAAAAATGTTTATATTTTTAACTTTTATCTTTTAATTTCATTTTCCATGAACATTTTGAAGTCCCTTTGTATATGCACATAACCTTATAGTCTAAACATCCCTTTTAATAACTCATTAGACTTTATTGAAACATTTAACACTGTCAGCCAACATTAGTCTCCTACACTCCTTGTACACCACTATCTTGTATTCTCTTGCAAACTCTGCCTGCTCCTTTTCAGTTTTGTTTTTTGTAGGTTATCCTTTCCATGCTTTAACTTTTAATATTTGTCTTACTTTAGTATTTGCCTTACTGCCCAAATCCATGATTTAACTGCCACTAGTAATTAGGAGAAGCAATTCACAGTGATACTCTCCCTAAAAACTAGGATAACTTTTTAAAAGACCACCTGAATTAAATTTGAAATCTGTAAAAGGTCAATATAGATTCTCAAAGATACAGAAGAGTTTTTAGTTTTAAAAATTTGGACAGTGACCATAGTCAAGTTATAAAAATATTTAAAAGAACATATTGATGGCAAAGATTGTTGATTATTCATATAAGCATAAAAAGTCAAGTCAGAGAGGGCAATATGTGACAGATCTCACCAAGCACTGCCCGAGGAAGTTGACCTGGGATGAAGGAATGTTACTTCAGTTTAAGGTTATCTCTGGTGGAGAAGAATGCAGTTGGCTGTCATAGCCTAATGCTATTAAACTATTGGATTATTTTTATTCCTTATATCCCAAACAATATTGCAAATAAATCAACTACTGATAATTTGGCTTCTCACTTCTTTTCTTGGTATTTGTCTCTTAGGTTAAATTGGCACTATTTTCTGACATCAGTTTTGTGAACTTGGCTTTTCCAACTTTACCTGGTTTAGAGTAGATATGCTTGTGCATGTTTCTGAGCTTGTAAGACTAGGGGCCACTCTATTTCAATCACAAATGTCATTTACACTCCATGGAAGACCCCTATAGACAAACCATCTAAAAGTGAATGAACTCGTTTTCTTTTTGGGAGTTTCTACATTTGTATTCTAACTGCTCTTAAACCCCAAATCAAGTCCAAGATCTCTTCTTAAGTTTCAGCACATACTTATACTCTGTTCTCTAGGCTTTTCTCCCCAGAAAGCTGGTGTACAAGGGTAGTTCAACAAGTTTGTGCAAAAAATGGAATTAAAAGCTTATTTGTTGCCAACAATTATAGGAATTCATGAAGTTTTTTCATAATATGCATTTCATGATCTTTTTGAAGACATCTATACACATTTGTTTCAAGTACTGTACAAAACCCTTCTTTCAATTTCATTTTTCATGAAATTTTGAAACACCATGGTACAATTGGAAGTAAAGTGACCTACCATCTTCCTTCTCCTAATTTACTTTTCTTCCTGTTCTAGTCTTGGTGAGAAATACCAATTTAGTCATCCAAACCAAGTCTGTAAACCACTGAGGATATTTTCCTTTTCTTCATTCCTCACACTGACACATTACTAAGTTTTATTAATTTCCCCTATTTAGCATTTTATTCATTCTCAGTCCAATCCACTGCTACTACCTAAGTTTGGGTTTTCCTCATTTGTTGGGTATATTGATGACAGCCTAACTGATCATTCACCTTCCACCATCACACTCTCCCAAATAATCTCTTAAATGTTCAGAGTTATCTTTTAAAAATGTAATATTATTTTCACTTTAATGGTTAAGACCTTTTAGCAGTTTTTTATTGTTTAGTGGTGCACTGTTCAGAACTTTTAGCGATGTGAAAATGTGCTGCACTGTTTAATATAGGAGGTGACATGGTCAAAATCCATGTTGAAACTGAATCCAAATTGTGGAAGTATTAAGAAGTGGGGCCTTTGGGGAAGTGATTAAGTCATAAGGGCTCTGCCCTCATGAATGGTTTGGTATCTTATGAAGACAAATACTATACGTTCTGCCTGAGGTAACTAATAGAGCACCTAAAAGGTATTCTAAAGTGAAACTGACATTTTGAGATGGGATGATTAAACAGCCCTTGTTTCTACTGCTAAGGAACAGATTTTTTTTCTTCTTCATACTATTTGTTGAACTTTTAATATAATCTTATGTGTATAAAGTTAACTGAAAATAGATCTTAGTGAAAAATAAGATCGGGAATAAGAGGGAGGAAGAAGGCTGAGAGTGCAGGTGGGAGGCGGTAGGGTGGGAAGAATCACTGTTTCTATTATCATTATTATTATTGTTATTATTAGACAGGCAGAGTTAGACAGTGAGAGAGAGACAGAAAGGTCTTCCTTCTGTTGGTTCACCCCGCAAATGGCTGCTACAGCTGGCCCGCTGCTCTGATCTGAAGCCAGGAGCCAGGTGTTTCCTTCTGGTCTCCCATGTGGGTGCAGGGGCCCAAGCACTCAGGCCATCCTCCACTGCCTTCCCGGGCCACAGCAGAGAGCTGGACTGGAAGAGGAGCAACCGATACTAGAACCTGGCACCCATATGGGGTGCTGGCGTTGCAGGTGGAGGCCCACGGCGCCGGCCCCTAAATCATTATGTTCCTAAAGTTGCATTTATGAAATGCATGAAGTCTGCAGACCTTAATTAAAAGGTTTCTGGGGAAAAAAATAAAGCCTGTCTTTCCAAAATTTCTCTGTTCATTAGTTCAGCTAACCAGAAACTATCTTTTTATGCTTCTCAGTAAATACTAATAAAATTCATTTTCCTTAAAAAACAAAAAAGAAAAGGACTAGAGGGAACTATATGAGGTCCTTTCCTTGCTCTTCTGCTCTCCCACCGAGTAGTGACAACATGGTCTTTGATCCCGTTTTGCTCTTCCATCCTTTTTGTCAACATGAGGTCCCAGAATTCAAGGTGTCATCTTAAAGAGCAGAGACTAGAGCCCTCAAAACGAATAAACCCTGCTGGCAGGTTCTTCTTGGGCTTACAATACTTCAGAATTGTGAGGAAATAAATTTCTATTTCTTATAAATTGTGCAGTATCAGATATTTTGTTATAAACTGCATATACAGATTAAGCCATGACTAGGCATATGTGTATACTGTGCACTTGTAATGTAGCTAGTGCAAATGAGAAACAGTTTTAAACTTTAGTTTTAATTGATTACATTTAAATAGCTCATATGGTTAATGGCTACTATATGGGACAACATGGGTCTAGAAAATAAAGTTCAAACATCATTACACAGGTTATAGTCTAAGATTTAGCCTCTATACATATTTGGGGGGTATACTTATACAGAATGGTATTATATAGACAGTTCCCCAAATGTAGCATGTTATTTCACTGCCTGTATATTTTTTTCTAAGATGCCTATCTCCACTTTGTCCTCCTTTCCATTTGCTCCTCATATTTCCTGGATAAGGAAATACAATCCCTCTTCAAGTTCCCTTTTACCTCAGGAAGAACTGATTATTTCCATCCCTTCTACCTCCACTACCTCTGCAGAATATCATAGTGATTATGTATTTTATTATTTAGATGTCATTCTCTACTTGCTGTAATTTCTGACATGTATCTTGATAGCTAAAGTATCAGCACCTAGCATTGTAATCAATGTTTAATGCTTGCTGACTGACTGAATCTCAAAGACAACCTTGACACATGTTATCACTGAACACTGATCCTTTTCAGACCTTTAAAAAATATTATACTATAATTCAACAAGAGAGACTATTTTTCCCTTTATTTTTCATCTTTTGGATCCTACTACTCGAAACATCACTTTTTTTTTTTTTTGGACAGGCAGAGTGGACAGTGAGAGAGACAGAGAGAAAGGTCTTCCTTTGCCGTTGCTTCACCCTCCAATGGATCGCGCTGATCCGAAGGCAGGAGCCAGGTGCTTCTCCTGGTCTCCCATGGGGTGCAGGGCCCAAAGACTTGGGCCATCCTCCACTGCACTCCCGGGCCATAGCAGAGAGCTGGCCTGGAAGAGGGGCAACCGCGACTAGAACCTGGTGTGCCGGCACCGCAGGCGGAGGAATAGCCAAGTGAGCCGTGGCGCCGGCCACTTTTTCTGTTTCTTAGCCAATGGAACTACTGTCAGACACTAATGGCATATTGCCATTCTTGTAAGTACTTACTTTGCTGAGTTCTCAAATTCAATCCTTCCCATACTGTTGAACATACAGATAATCTCACTACAATTCATATTCAACCTAAAATAAAATAGTATAGTGTTCTCAGTTTATTATTTTTTTGAAATGAAAATCAATTGTTGACATTAACTGATTTAAAAGCAAGCAGTTATTATAAATTACACTTAATTTGGTTGCTAACTTGGAAAACATTTGTGCCCCAAATCTCCAATTTATAATTTCTATTTTAATACATTTTTATACTTGCTATTGGTCTTCTGAATTATGACTTACTCACCTAGGAGAGCTCCTTAGTTTTAGAGAACTAACTTGTGACAATTCACTCTCAAATGTTAACTTCAAAGTCCGAATAATCTACAATTAAAAGAGAAGTACTGTTTATGTGTTCTTCATATTTGTCACAAATCTTAAACAGGTTTTAGAAGGAAGCTATATCTTTTAAGTATTTCATATTAATTAATACATTCAATGCTAGAATTTAGGATTCAAATATGTGTTTATGATTTTTTTTTCTCCAGAGGATTATTTAAAAGATGTGCGTGTGTATAAAATAGATACTAGCTAATGAATAGGACAGGGCTACATGATCAGACTCATTTTGCACTTGTATAGCTATCTTCAAATTGTTGTTGCTTTTCAATTTTCCTAACTAAACTAGTTAGGGTGAAGACCAAGTTTTATCACATTTATTTTTTTGCCTCCTAGCACCTCATGTGTAATACATAGAAAATGACTATTACTGGTTTAAGAATTACAGTTGGCAGGAGTCCAAGTTAGGTGGAAGCAAACTCTTCTTTCATTTATAGTCTCTGGAAGCAGATGAACCAGGACTTCTATTCTACACCTCAATTTGGTCCAATCATGTGAGTAGCTATGGAAAATGAAATTCCAAAGATGAAAACAGCAGGATATAAACCCTAAGAAAGTAAAGCAGAAATACGCAAGAGTATCTATATGAGTACTTCAAAAAGTTTGTGGAATATGGAATTAAATGAGTAGTTTTGGTGCAAGAATTTTTTGAAATCCATGTATATGAGGGGCCTTCAAAAACTTGGTGGAAAATGGATATTATGAAAAACTTACATGTGAATTGCAAATTTTTTTGCATCAAAGTAAACTTAAATTTTAAAAAAAGATTTACTTATTTAAAAGGCAGGGAGAAAGAGGAGAGGGAGGGAGAGGGGAGGGAAGGCAAAGAAAGAGGAGAGGGAGAAAGAGGAGAGGGAGGGAGAGAGAGGGAGGGGAAGGGAGGGAGAGAGAGGGAGGGGAAGGGAGGGAAGGAGAGGGAGGGGAAGGGAGGGAAGGAGAGGGGAGGAGAGGGGAAGAGAGGGGAGGAAAGGAGAGCAGGGAGAAAATGAACCAGTGCTAGGATTGGGCCAGGCTGAAGCCAAGAGCCAGAAACTTCATCCAGGCCTCCCATATGGGGATGACATGGTCCCAAGTACTTGGGCCATCTTCTGCTGTTTTCCCAGACACATTAGCAGGAAGCTGGAATGGAAGTGGAACTAGGACTGATATGGGATGTGGGTATCCCAAGTTGCATCTTAATGCCAAATGCCTATTCTTGCTCCTCTGAATGTCCTCATCTTTTATGCAGGTGTCCTAGAAACCTCAACTTCCATCTCAATTATCCTTGCTCTCAGAACATGTGTAATAAAGACCTTTTGCGCTATTTCCCCCAGGTGGTAAAAACTAATAAAAGGTTATACAAATTTAATAATGCTTTTCTTAGAATTCAAACACTTAATTCTAAATTGATGCTAATATAGGTTAAGATAATCTAAAAAGGAAATTCACCCTGTTAATTCTTAAATATCAGATTCCAAAGTATATAAAATACCAGAAATAATTCACATTGTGAACTATTAAAATTACCTGATTCATGTCACAATACGTCCTCAGAGAAGGTGCGGATTTTAACTCTCTTGCAATCTTCATAGCTGCATCCAAATCTTTTTTCTTCTCTTCAATATAGCTTTTAGCCATTACTAACTTTGATAAATAGTCATCTGTATTTCTTACAAGTTCTTCACATAGATTCTTTTTCCTTCAAGATCCCAAAGTTAGTTTTCAGTATTTCATAAACACTTAAAGTGAATTTTTAAATAACTGAACAATATTTGAAAGAGTTCTTTCACTAGCTGAGTAATTTAACAAAACAAATAAGGCATATAATAACTGAATAGTATTTTAAAGGGTAATCCTATTGAAAGACTACGTACAACATGGTGAAGTGAGGTATTCAATTAATTGAGATGCATTATAATTTATAGCAATGTATACATAATTAGAGAAAAAGGCTTTGTAGGAGGATAGTTATGTGATGAATACAGTTGTTACAGAATTATAGACATAAAAAAGACTCTACATCATTCTACCTAACAGTAAAGACAGATCTTGGCTGTATATATCCAGTAGTCACTTGTGCCCTTACAATGACAAAGCCACCCTAATTTCTTCTACGGATCTACTTACGTATTTTAAAATTTCCATTAACAGACATAAATGGAATATATAATGAGAATATAAAATGAGATTTTTAAAATAGACATCACTAAGCCAGAACTTGAATATCAATCAATTATAATTTCCAAAGTAATTGCTTAGGAAGATTACATACTTTATTACTTGTACCTCATTATGAAAACCTGTTCTGTATCTATGGTGAAATTACATTATGGTAATTTTAAAAATGTACACTGAAAACTTTAAAAAAAAAAAAAAACTAAGTTAAACACTAAAGTTTTATTTATAGAGTTACAGACAGAGAGAGGGAAAGACAGAGAGGTCTTCCATCCACTGGTTTACTCCCCAAATAGCCATAATGACCAGAGCTGGGCTGATCTGAAGCCAGGAGCTTCTTCCAGGTCTCCCACATGATGGCACTGGGGCCATCCTCTACTGTTTTCCCAAGCCATAGCAGAGAGCTGGATTGGAAGAAGAGCAGCCAGTACTAAAACTGGCACCCATATGGGATACTGGTGCTGCAGACAGAGGTTTAGCCTACTATGCCATAGCACAGGCTTCTAACTTACTCATTTCATTCATCACACAAATAATTACTCATTATTTCCCCAAACAATTCAGTTCTCCTCATCCTTTCCCCTCAAAACAAAACCAAACCCTTTATCAACACTAAAGAGTTGACTTTAGTTACTCAGGCTCTGAAGGTGAAGAGGCAGTCCAAAAGCCTTTTAGTAATTGTCTATATAACCTCTGAAATTAACTTATTTAGAGGAGAAATGGTCACTTTGGTAAGTTACAGTATGTTCCTAAAAACTCATGAACATGCAGTGATTCAACAAAATGATGGACTAGGATGATGCAAGCCCTTATTCCTCTACGGAAGTGTCAAAAAACAATAATTAAAAAAAAATTGGCTAAAACAGTCTTATTGGAACTCTAGAAAACAATCAAAAGTCTAATTTTTTTTATTTGACAGGTAGAGTTACAGACAGAGAGACAGAGAGAAAGGTCTTCCTTCCGTTGGTTCACTCCCCAAATGGCCGCCACGGCTGGCGCCGCGCCAATCTGAAACCAGGAGCTAGGCGCTTCTCCCTGATCTCCCAAGCGGGTGCAGGGGCCCAAGCACTTGGGCCATCCTCCACTGCCCTCCCGGGCCACAGCAGAGAGCTGGACTGGAAGAAGAGCAAGCGGGACTAGAATCCGGTGCCCATATGGGATGCCAGCGCCGCAGGCAAGTGAGCCATGGCGCCGGCTCCGAAAGTCTAATTTTTTAAAAAAGATTTATTTGAAAGTCAGAGTTAGAGAGAAAGATATCTCCCATCCACTGGTTCATTCCCTAGATGGCCTTAATGGCCAGGCTGAAGCCAGGAGCTTCATCCAGGTCTCCCATGTGGGCGCCAGGAGCCCAAACACTTGGGCCATCTTCTGCTGTTTTTCCCAGGCTACTAGTGGAGTGCAGGATCAGAAGAAGAGCAGCTGAGACATGAACTGATGCCCAAATGGGATGCCAGTGTTGTAGGCAGTAGCTTTACCTGCTACACCACAACACTGGCCCCTAAAAGTCTATAGCAGACCACAAAATCCCCTCTTTGGTAGAGTGTCTCAGTCTGGAAGCAGTAGCACTGTTCACATTGCATACCCTCACACTGAGGACAGAACAGATCTTATTTGTTATGCTCTAACCAGCTTGAAGGACTGGTCCTGTCTTTGCCAAATTTCAGGTAGGAGAGAAACAGTGGGTTCTGTTGAGGAAAAGTGCAGGGGCACTAAGAGCTATAGATGCCTGGGCAAGAGATTATAAGTGAAAATATCCAATAGACTACCTGAAGCCTGGAGAAGCAGCTTGGCTGAGACTCTTTGTATAATTGTGACATACAAAAGCAGCTGTGTTTACAGGGGAATTGAAAAGCCACAGTCAGAGCTAGGCAAGAACCAGGCTAAGGAAACACCCGAGAAAACCCTAAGTCTTTCCTTAAGACTGATCCAAAGGCTCAGAGAATACTCAGTTACTTAGGGAAGGGCTCCTCCAGCAAGAGCCAGTCCACAAAGACTGCAGAGGTGATGACTTTTCCAAATGCTCACTCTTCAATAATAACTCACAAGGTATAACTGAAAATAAAACAAATGCTCATTCACAGGAAGACAATGGATTGGTAGAACTGGTTCCATAAGAAGCACAGACATTTGACTGAGCAACAGACTGAAAAGTATCTTAAATATGCCCAAAGAGTAAAGGAAAACATGGACAAAGAACTAGATGAAATCAGGAAAATGATAAACAAAACGACAGTATCACCAAACAAAAATTATAAAAATCAATCAAATTCTATAGCTTCTCCTGAAAAGTACAGTAACTGAAATAAAAACATTCACCAAAGGGGTTCAACTATAGATTTTAACAGGCAGAACAATTAGCAAATTTGAAGACAGAACAATCGAAATTATTGAGTGAAAAACAAGGATGAACAAAAGTAAACAGACTTAAGGTACCTGTAGGACACCATCAAGTAGACTGATACACAATTTATGAGAGTTACAAAAGGAAGAGAGATTGTTTGAGAAAAGGTTAAAAACAAAACCCAAACAAACCAAACTTCCAAATCTGATGATATAGAAATCTACAAGTATAGGGGCTCAAGGAATTCAAGATAGAATAAACTCAGATCTACATCAGAACACATTATAAGGAGACTGCTGAAGGTCAACTATTAGAAACAGCAAGACAAATGTAATTTGTCAAATAGTAGTGATCATCAGTGAGATTATCAGCAGAAACTTTACAAATCAGAAAGTAATGGAGAATATATTTAAACTGCTAAAAAAATCAAAAACAAAGAAACAAAATTGTGGGCCAGCAGTGTGATGCAATGCCAGCATCCCATATGGGTGCTGGTTCAAGTCCTGGCTGCTCTGCTTCTAGTACAGCTCCCTGCTTCGGTGCTTGGGAAATCAGTGAAAGATGGTCCAAGGCCTTGGCCCCTGTACCCATGTGGGAGATGTGGATGAAGCTCCTGGCTCTGGTATGGCCCAGCTGTTGCTGTTGCAGCCATCTGGGGAGTGAACCTGTGAATGGAAGCTCTCTCTCTGCACCTCTCTTTTAAAATAAATAAATGAATCTTTAAAAACAAACAAAAACACACAAAAGAACAAAAAAACCCTGTCAACTGAGAATTCTATACCAACCAAAACATTTTTGTCCTTTAGGAATGAGGGAGAAGTTATAACATTCCCAGAAAAACAAAAACCAAAGGAGGTCATTACCAAAAGACCTGTCCTTCGAGAACACTGAAAGAAATTCTTCCGGGGCTAGTGCTGTGGCAAAAGTAGGTTACGCCTCCACCTGCAGCATCAGTATCCATATGGGGACTGGTTTGGGTCCCAGCTGCTTCATTTCTGACCCAGCTCCCTGATGGTTGCCTGGGAAAGCAGTGGAAGATGGTCCAAATGCTTAGGCCCCTGAAATCACATGGGAGACCTGGAAGAAGCTCCTGGCTCCAGATCGGCCTGGCTCTGACCATTGTGGCCATGTGGGGAATGAACCAGTTAATAGAAGACCTCTCTTTCTGTCTCTCCCTTTCTCTGTAACTCTGCTTCTGAAATAAATAAAAATCTTTTTAAAAAAGTTCTTCACATCAAAATAAAGAAGGCTACACAGTAACTTGAAGTTATACAATGACAAATATTGCTGGTTAAGGTAAATACATGGGAAAATATAAAAATCAGTATTACTTTTTGTTCATAATTCTACTTTTTATCAAGATTTAAAGAAAAAACATAAAATGACTATAGAACTAAAGTAATGGATATATAATGTATAAATATGTAATTTGTGACAAAAATAAAAGGGAGGCAGATGTATAAAACAGAGTATATGCAACTAAAGTTAAGAGCTTTTAACTCAAAGTAAATTATCATAACTTCAGGATGTTGTATGTAATCCTCATGAGAAACCACAAAGAAATTATCCACAGAATACAAAGATAAGAAGCAAATCAAAATCTGTTACTACAAAAAAAATCAAGTAAATACAAAGAAATTCAGTAATGGAGAAAACAAGCAACAAAAACTATAACACAAATAAAATGGTAAAATTAAGTCCTCCATTATCAGTGCCTATTTTAAATGTCAGTTAAACTCCCCAATCAAAAGGCTTGAAGAATTTGAAGAATGAATAAAGAATATCACCTGACTACATGCTGTCACAAGGAACTCACTTTAGATCTAAAGATATACACAGATTGAAACTGAAATGACAGAAATTAGCCAAGAATTAGGATGGGCATACTAATTTTAGACAAAATAGACTTTCATATAACAATTATAGATATGCACCAAACATCAGAACACCAAAATATGTGAAGGAAAAACTGGCAGAATTAAAGAAGCAATTGACAAGTCTACAATAACTGGAGATTTTTTTAAAAAAAGATTTGAAAGACAGAAATAGAGAAAGAAGGGAAGAGAGAGAGAGAGAGAGATTGATTGATTGATTCCATCTGTTGGTTTGTTCCCTAAATGGCCGCAACAGCCAGGGCTGGGCCAGGCCAAAGCCAGGATAGGAGCTTCTTCCAGGTCTCCCAC